AACCATCCTGAACAACTCCTCTGTCATCCAGGTGTCTGGGGAGGTCTGGAACCGCGTACCCAAAGCAGCCATTGCAGCTGCATGAGTCACAGTCCTAAACCTCGCCCATTTACCCTCGACATCAGGAGGAGTCGGGGACGATGCCAATCCCAGCCGCAAGCGATGATGAAATTCTCGCTTGCAACTTTCATCAGATAACTGAGACCAGGCCACTTTAGGTTGGAATGGGGTCCTGGGTGTACACCCACCACCGGAGTGGAAGAATGGCAGGCGCATCTTACAGATGACTAGTCGATGGTCAGAGGGCAGATCAGCTCCACGGTAGGTCCTGGTGTCAAGGACATGGGCTCGCATTCGCTGGTCCGTCACTATGTAGTCCAGCAGATGTTCTTGCTTGGACCCGGCATGCATCCATGATGTTGTGTGGATGCGCCGATGCCGGAACAGCGTGTTGGTAATTACAAGCCCATGGGCTGCACAAAAATCTAGCAGCCTCCTACCGTTGTTATTGAGCTGATCTGGCCCATGCCCTCCAATCACTCCAGACCAGGTGCCAGTATCATGACCAACTCGGGCATTGAAGTCACCCACATGATGACTCTATCCCGAGGGGCCACTTTAGCCAGCACCTGTGACAGGAGGTCATAGAAGGCATCTGACTCATCGGCTTTGCCTGCATCCCTCCACGGATGTTCATCTTCGGTGGGGGCATAAGTAACCACGACCACCATTCCTCGCCTCCGGTTGATGGGAAGGCGAGCCCAAAGTAGCCTGGGGCTTACAGCTTCCACAACTCACCGCCACGCTCCCACGCCCCCTTCATTCTTTTGTTCAAAAGAAGACCCACACCCTGTTGTTTGGCAGTCTGCTGCCCCGAGTAGAGGACTGTCCACCCCTCATGGTGGCAGGAGCCAGAGCCGGTCCACCGGACCTCATGAATGCCGCATAGATCCAGGCGGTACCGGTCCAGCTCCCGACAGAGGAGTGGCAGCCTCTCCTCTGCAGTGAGCGTTCGAACATTCCACGTGGCCACCCGTAGTGGCTTTTCGTTGTTTCTGGAGTAGCCCCGAGGGTAGGTATTCAATCTCCTGGCTCCGCCAATTGGGGTTTGGCCGGAGACGTCATAGACGCTGGCCCCCCGGGGCCTCCGGCACAAGCTTAGTTGTTACATATTTCAGTTTAATTCGTGGTTTTGTGGTAATTAATTGAAGGTGGAGGGGTTACCAGCCCCTCGCACCCGTCCAGAGCCCCCGTTTAGCCCCTGTGGTGGACACATATGCCATGAGGGGAGGAGCCAATCAAAATTGGAACTCCCCCCACAGGACTGTCCACGACAGAGTTGCCCGTCCGGCACCGCGAGGAGGTCTGTGTGTCTGTGTGAGACACACAGACACACAGACACACAGTGAGACACACAGTGAGACACACAGACACACAGTGAGACACACAGTGAGACACACAGACACACAATGAGACACACAGACACACAGTGAGAGACACACAGTGAGACACACAGTGAGACACACAGACACACAGACACACAATGAGACACACAGTGAGACACACAGTGAGACACACAGACACACAGTAGACACACAGTGAGACACACAGTGAGACACACAGACACACAGACCACAGTGAGACACACAGTGACACACACAGTGAGACACACAGACACACAGACACACAGAGAGACACACAGACACACACACACACAGTGAGACACACAGTGAGACACACAGTGAGACACACAGACACACAGTGAGACACACAGTGAGACACACAGACACACAGACACAACAATGAGACACACAGTGAGACACACAGACACACAGTGAGACACACAGTGAGACACACAGTGACACACAGACACACAGTAAGACACACAGTGAGACACACAGTGAGACACACAGACACACAGTGAGACACACAGAGACACACGTGGACACACACACAGACACACAGACACACAATGAGACACACAGTGAGACACACAGTGAGACACACAGACACACAGTAAGCACACAGTGAGACACACAGTAATACACAGTGAGACACACAGTGAGACACACAGACACACAGTGAGACACACAGTGAGACACACAGAGACACAGTGAGACACACAGTGAGACACACAGTGAGACACACAGACACACAGTGACACACACAGTGAGACACACAGACACACAGTGAGACACACAGTGAGACACACAGTGAGACACACAGTGAGACACACAGACACACAGACACACAATGAGACACACAGTGAGACACACCAGTGAGACACACAGTGAGACACACAGTGACACACAGTGAGACACACAGTGAGACACACAGTGAGACACACAGACACACAGACACACTGTGAGACGCACAGATAGACACACAGACAGACACACAGGTAGACACACAGTGAAACACACAGGTAGACAGATAGACAGACAGACAGACACACAGACAGACACACAGACACACAGGTAGACAGATACACAGACACACAGACACACAGACAGACACACAGGTAGACAGACACACAGACAGACAGACATACAGACACACAGACACACAGGTAGACAGACACACAGACACACAGACAGACACACAGACACACAGGTAGACAGACACACAGACAGACAGACAGACATACAGACACACAGACACACAGGTAGACAGACACACAGACAGACAGACATACAGACACACAGACACACAGGTAGACAGACACACAGACAGACAGACAGACATACAGACACACAGACACACAGGTAGACAGACACACAGACACACAGACAGACACCAGACACACAGGTAGACAGACACACAGACAGACATACAGACACACAGGTAGACAGACACACAGACACAGACACACAGACAGACACACAGGTAGACAGACACACAGACAGACAGACAGACATACAGACACACAGACACACAGGTAGACAGACACCAGACACACAGACAGACATACAGACACACAGACACACAGGTAGACAGACACACAGACACACAGACAGACATACAGACACACAGACACACAGGTAGACAGACACACAGACACACAGACAGACACACAGACACACAGGTAGACAGACACACAGACAGACAGGACAGACATACAGACACACAGACACACAGGTAGACAGACACACAGACACACAGACAGACACACAGACACACAGGTAGACAGATAGACACACAGACAGACAGACAGACACACAGGTAGACAGACAGACAGACACACAGACACACAGGCAGACACACAGGTAGACAGATAGACAGACACCAGACAGACACACAGTGAGACACAGGTAGACAGATAGACAGACAGTGAGACACAGGTAGACAGATAGACAGAGACAGGTAGACAGACAGACAGACACAGGTAGACACACAGACACACAGGTAGACACACACAGACACACAGATACACAGACACACAGTGAGACACACAGGTAGACACACACAGACACACAGGTAGACACACAAACACACAGACACACAGTGAGACACACAGACACACAGATAGACACACAGACACACAGTGAGACACAGACACACAGGTAGACACACGACACAGACACACAGTGAGACACACAGGTAGACACACACAGACACACAGGTAGACACACAGACACACAGGTAGACACACACAGACACACAGAGACACAGACACACAGTGAGACACACAGGGAGACACACACAGACACACAGGTAGACACACAAACACACAGACACACAGTGAGACACACACAGAGACACACAGATAGACACAGACACACAGTGAGACACACAGACACACAGGTAGACACACAGACACACAGTGAGACACACAGACACACAGGTAGACACACAGATAGACAGTGAGACACACAGTGAGACACACAGACAGATAGACACACAGACACACAGTGAGACACACAGACACACAGGTAGACACACAGACAGATAGACACACAGACACACAGACACATAGACACACAGTGAGACACACAGACACACAGGTAGACAGATAGACAAAGTGAGACACACAGTGAGACACAGGTAGACACACAGACACACAGGTAGACACACACAGACACACAGATACACAGACACACAGTGAGACACACAGGTAGACACACATACACACAGACACACAGATAGACACACAGGTAGACAGATAGACAGACAGAGCGCTCCAGCGCTGTCCTCCAGACAGTCTCGTCCCTTCACCTGATGAAGGCCGCTTGTGTTGTGGCCGAAACGTCGTGAGAATATTATCGCGTTATTTTATTTTATTAATTTATTATTTTATTATCATTCTACGTGGTGGTGGTGACTTTACCGAAAGAACCAAAGAAGATGAATCCTTGCAAGTCACTGATAATGATGTAGCTGATGGTGATGTTGTAGCTGATGATGATGTAGCTGATGATGATGATGTAGCTGATGATGATGATGTAGCTGATGATGATGTAGCTGATGATGATGTTGTAGCTGATGATGATGTAGCTGATGATGATGATGTAGCTGATGATGTTGTAGCTGATGATGATGATGATGTAGCTGATGATGATGTAGCTGATGATGATGTAGCTGATGATGATGATGCTGATGATGATGTAGCTGATAATGATGCAGCTTATGATGTAGCTGATGATGATGATGTAGCTGATGATGATGATGTAGCTGATGATGATGATGATGATGTAGCTGATGATGATGATGTAGCTGATGATTATGTAGCTGATGATTATGTAGCTGATGATGATGATGATGTAGCTGATGATGATGATGTAGCTGATGATGCTGATGATGATGCTGATGATGATGCAGCTGATGATGATGATGATGCTGATGATGATGTAGCTGATGCTGATGATGTAGCTGATGATGATGATGCAGCTGATGATGATGATGATGCTGATGATGATGCAGCTGATGATGATGATGATGCTGATGATGATGCAGCTGATGATGATGATGATGCTGATGATTGTTTGGAACTTCTGTGCCAGGTGGAGGTGCCCAGGGGAGAGCTCATTGCCGAAATCAAGAGGAGACTGGCAAAGCGTGACCCCTCACGTGACCCCTCGTGACCCCTCAGGTGACCCCTCAGGTGACCCCTCACGTGACCCCTCGTGACCCCTCAGGTGACCCCTCACGTGACCCCTCGTGACCCCTCAGGTGACCCCTCAGGTGACCCCTCACGTGACCCCTCGTGACCCCTCGTGACCCCTCGTGACCCCTCTCGTGACCCCTCAGGTGACCCCTCAGGTGACCCCTCACGTGACCCCTCGTGACACCTCGTGACCCCTCACGTGACCCCTCGTGACCCCTCAGGTGACCCCTCAGGTGACCCCTCACGTGACCCCTCGTGACCCTCAGGTGACCCCTCACGTGACCCCTCGTGACCCCCTCAGGTGACCCCTCAGGTGACCCCTCACGGGACCCCTCGTGACCCCTCGTGACCCCTCGTGACCCTCAGGTGACCCCTCAGGTGACCCCCTCACGTGACCCCTCGTGACACCTCGTGACCCCTCACGTGACCCCCTCGTGACCCCTCAGGTGATCCCTCGTGACCCCCTCACGTGACCCCTCGTGACCCCTCAGGGGACCCCTCAGGTGACCCCTCGTGACCCCTCGTGGACACCTCGTGACCCCTCGTGACCCCTCTCGTGACCCCTCAGGTGATCCCTCGTGACCCCTCGTGACCCTCAGGTGACCCCTCGTGACCCCTCGTGACCCCTCACGTGACCCCTCACGTGACCCCTCGTGACCCCTTAGGTGACCCCTCGTGACCCCTCTCGTGACCCCTCAGGTGATCCCTCGTGACCCTCACGTGACCCTCGCGACCCCTCAGGTGACCCCTCAGGTGACCCCTCGTGACCCTCGTGACACCTCGTGACCCCTCAGGTGACCCCTCGTGACCCCTCTCGTGACCCCTCAGGTGACCCCTCGTGACCACCTCGTGACCCCTCAGGTGACCCCTCAGGTGATCCCTCGTGACCCCTCTCGTGACCCCTCAGGTGATCCCTCGTGACCCCCTCACGTGCCCCTCACGTGACCCCTCACACGCGACCCCTCACACGCGACCCCTCACGCCACCCCTCGTGACCCCCACGTGACCCCTCACACGTGACCCCTCACACGTGACCCCTCACGTGACTCCTCACAACGCGACCCCTCGTGGCCCCTCACGTGACCCCACATGACCCCCTCACACGTGACCCCTCACACGTGACCCCTCACACGCGACCCCTCACACGCCACCCCTCACTCCACCCCTCGTGACCCCACGGGACCCCTCACACGTGACCCCTCATGTGACCCCTCAACCGTGACCCCTCGGGACCCCTCAGCCGTGACCCCTCGTGACCCCACGTGACCCCTCGTGACACCCTCACACGTGACCCCTCACGTGACACACCCACCGTGGCCTCAATGATGGGGGACGTCATTGTTGTTGTTGTTGTGGGTGTTGTTGTTGTGTTGTGGTGTTGTTGTTGTTGTGGGTGTTGTTGTTGTTGTGGGTGTTGTTGTTGTTGTGGGTGTTGTTGTTGTAGGTGTGGGGTGTTGTTGTTGTTGTTGTTGGTGTTGTGGGTGTTGTTGTGTTGTTGTGGTGTTGTTGTTGGTGTTGTTGTTGTGTGTGTGGTTGTTGTTGTGGGTGTTGTTGTTGTTGTGGGTGTTGTTGTTGTGGGTGTTGTTGTGGGTGTTGTGGGTGTTGTTGTGGGTGTTGTTGTTGGTGTTGTTGTTGTGTGTGTGGTTGTTGTTGTGGGTGTTGTTGTGGGTGTTGTTGTGGTTGTGGGTGTTGTTGTGGGTGTGGTGGGTGTTGTGTGTTGTGGGTGTGGGTGTTGTTGTGGTTGTGGTGGGTGTTGTTGTGGGTGTTGTTGTTGTTGTTGTGGGTGTTGTTGTTGTGGGTGTTGTTGTTGTTGTGGGTGTTGTGGGTGTTGTTGTGGGTGTTGTTGTTGTTGTTGTGGGTGTTGTTGTTGTGGGTGTTGTTGTGGGTCTTGTTGTTGTGTGGGTGTTGTTGTTGTGGGTGTTGTTGTTGGTGTTGTTGTTGTGGGTGTTGTTGGGGTGTTGTTGTTGTTGTGGGTATTGTTGTTGTTGGTGTGTTGTGGGTGTTGTTGTTGTGGGTGTTGTGTTGTTGTGGGTGTTGTTGTTGTGGGTGTTGTTGTTGTTGTGTGGTGTTGTGGGTGTTGTGGGTGTTGTGGGGTGGGGGGGTGTGTGTGGGGTGTGTGTGTTGTGGGTTGTTGGTGTTGTTGTTGTTGTTGTGGGTGTTGTTGTGGGTGTTGTTGTTGTGGGTGTGGGTGTTGTTGTTGTGGGTGTTGTTGTTGTTGTGGGTGGTTGTTGTGGGTGTTGTTGTTGTTGTTGTGGGTGTTGTTGTGGGTGTTGTTGTTGTTGTTGTTGTGGGTGTTGTTGTGTGGGTGTTGTTGTTGTTGTGGGTGTGTTGTTGTTGTGGGTGTTGTGGGTGTTGTGTGTGGGTGTTGTTGTTGTTGTTGTGGGTGGTTTGTTGTGGTGTTGTTGTGGGTCTTGTTGTTGTTGTGGGTGTTGTTGTTGTGGGTGTTGTTGTTGGTGTTGTTGTGTGGGTGTTGTTGTGGGTGTTTTGTTGTTGTGGGTATTGTTGTTGTGGTGTTGGTTGTGGTGGGTTGTTGTTGTTGTGGGTGTTGTTGTGTGTGTGTGGTGTGTTGTTGTGGGTGTTGGGTGTGTTGTGGGGTTGTGGTGTTGTTGTTGTGGGTGTTGTTGTTGTTGTGGGTGTTTGTTGGTGGTTGTTGTTGTTGTTGTTGGTGTTGTTGTTGTCGGGTGTGGGTGTTGTTGTTTGTTGTTGTGGGGTGTTGTTGTGGGTGTTGTTGTTGTGGGTGTTGTTGTTGTGGGGTGGGTGTTGTTGTTGTTGTGGGTGTTGTTGTTGGTTGTGGGTGTGTTGTTGTGGGTGTTGTTGTTGGTTGTTGTTGTTGTGGGTGTTGTGTTGGGGTGTTGTGTTGGTGTTGTTGTGGGTGTTGTGTTGTGGGTGTTGTTGTGGGTGTTGTTGTTGGTGTTGTTGTTGTGGGTGTTGTTGTTGTTGTGGGTGTTGTGGGTGTTGTTGTGGGTGTTGTGGGTGTTGTTGGTGTTGTTGTTGTAGGTGTGGGTGTTGTTGTTGTTGTGGGTGTTGTGGGTGTTGTTGTGGGTGTTGTTGTTGTTGTTGTGGGTGTTGTTGTTGTGTGTGTTGTTGTTGGTGTTGTTGTTGTTGTGGGTGTTGTTGTTGTGGGTGTGGGTGTTGTTGTTGTTGTTGTGGGTGTTGTGGGTGTTGTGGGTGTTGTTGTGGGTGTTGTTGTTGTTGTGGGTGTTGTTGTTGTTGTTGTGGGTGTTGTGGGTGTTGTTGTTGTTGTGGGTGTTGTTGTATTGTTGTTGTTGTGTGTGTTGTTGTTGTTGTGGGTGTTGTTGTGGGTGTTGTTGTGGGTGTTGTGGGTGTTGTGGGTGTTGTTGGTGTTGTTGTTGTAGGTGTGGGTGTTGTTGTTGTTGTGGGTGTTGTTGTGGGTGTTGTTGTTGTTGTTGTGGGTGTTGTTGTTGTGGGTGTTGTTGTTGTTGTGGGTGTTGTTGGTGTTGTTGTGGGTGTTGTTGTTGTTGTTGTGGGTGTTGTTGTTGTGGGTGTTGTTGTGGGTCTTGTTGTTGTTGTGGGTGTTGTTGTTGTGGGTGTTGTTGTTGGTGTTGTTGTTGTGGGTGTTGTTGTGGGTGTTGTTGTTGTTTGTGGTGTTGTTGGTGTTGTTTGTGGGTGTTGTTGTTGTGGGTGTTGTGTGTTGTTGTGGGTGTTGTTGTTGTGGTGTTGTTGTTGTTGTGGGTGTTGTGGGTGTTGTTGTGGTGTTGTGGGTAGGTTGTTGGTGTGGGGTGTTGTTGTTGTTGTGGTGTTGTTGTTGTGTGTGTTGTTGTTGGTGTTGTTGTTGTTGTGGTTGTGGTGTTGTTGTTGTGGGTGTGGGTGTTGTTGTTGTTGTTGTGGGTGTTGTGGGTGTTGTTGTGGATGTGTTGTTGGTTGTTGTGGGTGTTGTTGGTTGTGGGGTGTGTTGTGTGGGTGGTGGTGTTGTGGGTGTGGGTGTTGTTGTGGTGTTGGTTGTTGTTGTGGGTGGTTGTTGTTGTGGGTGTTGTTGTTGGTGTTGTTGTTGTGGGGTGTTGTTGTTGTGGGTGTTGTTGTTGGTGTTGTTGTGGGGTGTTGTTGTTGGTGGGTGTTGTTGTGGGTGTTGTGTTGGTGTTGTTGTTGTGGTGTTGTTGTTGGGGTGTTGTGGGTGTTTGTTTGTGGGTGTTGTGGGTGTTGTTGGTTGTTGTTGTTGTAGGTGTGGGTGTTGTTGTTGTTGTGGGTGTTGTTGTGGTGTTGTTGTTGTTGTTGTGGGGTGTTGTTGTTGTGTGTGTTGTTGTTGGTGTTGTTGTTGTTGTTGTGGGTGTTGTTGTTTGTGGTGTTGGTGGTGTTTGTTGTTGTTGTGGGTGTTGTGGGTGTTGTTGTGGGTGTTGTTGTTGTGGGTGTTGTTGTTGTGGGTGTTGTTGTTGTGGGTGTTGTTGTTGTGGGTGTTGTTGTTGTGGTTGTTGTTGTTGTTGTTGTTGTTGTTGTTGTTGTGGGTGTTGTTGTTGTGGGTGTTGTTGTTGGTGTTGTTGTTGTGGGGTTGTGTTGTGGGGTGTTGTTGTTGGTGTTGTTGTGGGTGTTGTTGTTGTGGGTGTTGTTGTGGGTGTTGTTGTTGGTGTTGTTGTTGTTGTGGGTGTTGTGTTGTTGTTGTGGGTGTTGTTGTTGTGGGTGTTGTTGTTGTTGTTGTTGTGGGTGTTGTTGTTGTTGTGGGTGTTGTTGTTGGTGTTGTTGTTGTGGGTGTTGTGTTGTTGTGGGTGTTGTTGTTGGTGTTGTTCTTGTTGTGGGTGTTGTTGTTGGTGTTGTGGTGTTGTTGGTGTTGTTGTTGGGTTGTATGTGGTGTTGTTGTGGGTGTTGTTGTGGGTGTGGTGTCCTGTGGGTGTCGTTGTGAGTGTCGTGAGTGTTGTGGTGGTGTGTTTGTTGTGGGGTGTCGTTGTGGGTGTTTGTTTGTGGGTGTTGCTGTGGGTGTTGTTGTGGTGTCGTTGTGAGTGTCGTGAGTGTTGTTGTGGGTGTTGTTGTTGTGGGTGTCGGTTGTGGGTGTTGTTGTGGGGGTCGTTGTGGGTGTTGTGTGGGTGTTTGTTGTTGTGGTGTCCGTTGTGGGTGTTGTTGTGGGTGTCGTTGTGGGTGTTGTTGTGGGTGTTGTTGTGGGTGTCATTGTGAGTGTCGTGAGTGTTGTTGTGAGTGTCGTTGTGGGTGTTGTTGTGGGTGTCATTGTGGGTGTCGTTGTGGGTGTCGTTGTGGGTGTCAATTGTGAGTGTCGTTGTGAGTTGTCGGGAGTGTTGTTGTGAGTGTCGTTGTGGGTGTTGTTGTGGGTGTCGTTGTGAGTGTCGTGAGTGTTGTTTGTGAGTGTCATTGTGGGTGTCGTTGTGGGTGTCGTTGTGGGTGTCGTTGTGAGTGTCGTGAGTGTTGTTGTGGGTGTTGTTGTGGGTGTTGTTGTGAGTGTTGTTGTGGTGTCGTTGTGAGTGTCGTGGAGTGTTGTTGGTGGGTGTTGTTGTTGTGGGTGTTGTTGTGGGTGTCATTGTGGGTGTCGTGTGGGTGTTGTTGTGGGTGTCGTTGTGGGTGTTGTTGTGGGTGTCGTTTGTGAGTGTCGTGAGTGTTGTTGTGAGTGTTGTTGTGAGTGTCGTGAGTGTTGTTGTGAGTGTTGTTGTGAGTGTCATTGTGGGTGTCGTTGTGGGTGTCGTTGTGGGTGTCGTTGTGAGTGTCGTGAGTGTTGTTGTGGGTGTTGTTGTGGGTGTTGTTGTGGGTGTTGTTGTGGGTGTCGTTGTGAGTGTCGTGAGTGTTGTTGTGGGTGTTGTTGTTGTGGGTGTTGTTGTGGGTGTCATTGTGGGTGTCGTTGTGGGTGTTGTTGTGGGTGTCGTTGTGGGTGTTGTTGTGGGTGTCGTTGTGAGTGTCGTGAGTGTTGTTGTGAGTGTCATTGTGGGTGTCGTTGTGGGTGTCGTTGTGGGTGTCGTTGTGAGTGTCGTGAGTGTTGTTGTGGGTGTTGTTGTGGGTGTTGTTGTGGGTGTTGTTATGGGTGTCGTTGTGGGTGTCGTGAGTGTTGTTGTGGGTGTTGTTGTGGGTGTCATTGTGAGTGTCGTGAGTGTTGTTGTGAGTGTCATTGTGGGTGTCGTTGTGGGTGTCGTTGTGAGTGTCGTGAGTGTTGTTGTGGGTGTTGTTGTGGGTGTTGTTGTGGGTGTTGTTATGGGTGTCGTTGTGGGTGTCGTGAGTGTTGTTGTGGGTGTTGTTGTGGGTGTTGTTGCGGGTGTTGTTGTGGTCACCAGTCCACTCACACTGTAGGCTGACTCCCCCTGTCATTACCTCCCGTGGTCACCAGTCCACTCACACTGCAGGCTGACTCCCCCTGTCACTACCTCCCGTGGCCACCAGTCCACTCACACTGCAGGCTGACTCCCCTGTCACTACCTCCCGTGGCCACCAGTCCACTCACACTGCAGGTTGACTCCCCTGTCACTACCTCCCGTGGCCACCAGTCCACTCACACTGTAGGCTGACTCCCCCTGTCACTACCTCCCGTGGCCACCAGTCCACTCACACTGCAGGCTGACTCCCCTGTGATTACCTCCCGTGGCCACCAGTCCACTCACACTGTAGGCTGACTCCCCTGTCATTACCTCCCGTGGCCACCAGTCCACTCGTACTGCAGGCTGACTCCCTGTCATTACCTCCCGTGGCCACCAGTCCACTCACACTGCAGGCTGACTCCCCTGTCACTACCTCCCGTGGCCACCAGTCCACTCACACTGCAGGCTGACTCCCCCGTCATTACCTCCTGTGGCCACCAGTCCACTCACACTGCAGGCTGACTCCCCTGTCACTACCTCCCGTGGCCACCAGTCCACTCACACTGCAGGCTGACTCCCCTGTCATTACCTCCCGTGGCCACCAGTCCACTCACACTGCAGGCTGACTCCTCCTGTCATTACCTCCCGTGGCCACCAGTCCACTCACATTGCAGGCTGACTCCTCCTGTCATTACCTCCCGTGGCCACCAGTCCACTCACACTGCAGGCTGACTCCCCCTGTCACTACATCCCGTGGCCACCAGTCCACTCACACTGTAGGCTCACTCTCCCTGTCACTACCTCCCGTGGCCACCAGTCCACTCACACTGCAGGCTGACTCACCCTGTCACTACCTCCCGTGGCCACCAGTCCACTCACACTGCAGGCTGACTCCCCTGTCATTACCTCCCGTGGCCACCAGTCCACTCACACTGCAGGCTGACTCCCCTGTCACTACCTCCCGTGGCCACCAGTCCACTCACACTGCAGACTGACTCCCCTGTCATCACCTCCCGTGGCCACCAGTCCACTCACACTGCAGGCTGACTCCCCCTGTCACTACCTCCCGTGGCCACCAGTCCACTCACACTGCCGGCTGACTCCCCCTGTCATTACCTCCCGTGGCCACCAGTCCACTCACACTGCAGGCTGACTCCCCTGTCACTACCTCCCGTGGCCACCAGTCCACTCACACTGCCGGCTGACTCACCCTGTCATCACCTCCCGTGGCCACCAGTCCACTCACACTGCAGGCTGACTCCCCTGTCACTACCTCCCGTGGCCACCAGTCCACTCACACTGCAGGCTGACTCCCCCTGTCACTACCTCCCGTGGCCACCAGGTCCACTCACACTGCAGGCTGACTCACCCTGTCACTACCTCCCGTGGCCACCAGTCCACTCACACTGCAGGCTGACTCCCCTGTCATTACCTCCCGTGGCCACCAGTCCACTCACACTGCAGGCTGACTCCCCCTGTCACTACCTCCCGTGGCCACCAGTCCACTCACACTGCAGACTGACTCCCCCTGTCACTACCTCCCGTGGCCACCAGTCCACTCACACTGCCGGCTGACTCCCCCTGTCATTACCTCCCGTGGCCACCAGTCCACTCACACTGCAGGCTGACTCCCCTGTCACTACCTCCCGTGGCCACCAGTCCACTCACACTGCAGACTGACTCCCCTGTCATCACCTCCCGTGGCCACCAGTCCACTCACACTGCAGACTGACTCCCCCTGTCATTACCTCCCGTGGCCACCAGTCCACTCACACTGCCGGCTGACTCCCCCTGTCATTACCTCCCGTGGCCACCAGTCCACTCACACTGCAGGCTGACTCCCCCTGTCACTACCTCCCGTGGCCACCAGTCCACTCACACTGCAGGCTGACTCCCCCTGTCACTACCTCCCGTGGCCACCAGTCCACTCACACTGCCGGCTGACTCACCCTGTCATCACCTCCCGTGGCCACCAGTCCACTCACACTGCAGGCTGACTCCCCTGTCACTACCTCCCGTGGCCACCAGTCCACTCACACTGCAGGCTGACTCACCCTGTCACTACCTCCCGTGGCCACCAGTCCACTCACACTGCAGGCTGACTCCCCCTGTCATTACCTCCCGTGGCCACCAGTCCACTCACACTGCAGGCTGACTCCCCTGTCATTACCTCCCGTGGCCACCAGTCCACTCACACTGCAGACTGACTCCCCCTGTCATTACCTCCCGTGGCCACCAGTCCACTCACACTGCCGGCTGACTCCCCCTGTCATTACCTCCCGTGGCCACCAGTCCACTCACACTGCAGGCTGACTCCCCTGTCACTACCTCCCGTGGCCACCAGTCCACTCACACTGCAGGCTGACTCCCCCTGTCACTACCTCCCGTGGCCACCAGTCCACTCACACTGCAGGCTGACTCACCCTGTCACTACCTCCCGTGGCCACCAGTCCACTCGCACTGCAGGCTGACTCCCCCGTCATTACCTCCCGTGGCCACCAGTCCACTCACACTGCAGGCTGACTCCCCCTGTCATTACCCCACGTGGCCACCAGTCCACTCACACTGCAGGCTGACTCCCCCTGTCATTACCTCCCGTGGCCACCAGTCCACTCACACTGCAGACTGACTCCCCTGTCACTACCTCCCGTGGCCACCAGTCCACTCGCACTGCAGGCTGACTCCCCCTGCCATCACCTCCCGTGGCCACCGGACGATGATGACAATCGGCCGTCTTGGCTGAGCCATCACCGTTCGCGACAGGCCAACATCCAGGGCCGTCTGAGCCCCGGCAAGCTCAGTCGGCCAAAACCCATCGGCGCAGTTTGTCCCCGTTGAATGTCCCCCGTAACTCGAACCTTGGGTATTTTGTTTTATTGCACGTACCGTGGCCCAGGAGCACGTTGCCGTGGGATAACGACGACGTGGAGACCGTGCGACCGAGCAGACAACGGCGGCGTTGGAGACGGCGCCGACGTCCCGAGGTCCCTCTCGACAGCCCCGAGGTCCCTCTCGACAGCCCCGAGGTCCCTCTCGACAGCCCCGAGTTCCCTCTCGACAGCCCCGAGGTCCCTCTCGACAGCCCCGAGGTCCCTCTCGACATCCCCGAGGTCCCTCTCGACAGCCCCGAGGTCCCTCTCGACAGCCCCGAGGTCCCTCTCGACAGCCCCGAGGTCCCTCTCGACAGCCCCGAGGTCCCTCTCGACAGCCCCGAGGTCCCTCTCGACAGCCCCGAACACCCCGTCCTTCTCCGCTTTTACCCTCGCGGATTCTCCGGGGGAATTTCTCCCCGGCCGTCTCTTTTTGAACACTCCGGGGCCAGACGCGGGCAAGGCCGTATGCGGCCCGCTGGGCTTCTTAATCCGGCCCGCCGAACTCGTCCAAACATTATTATTATTATTTCGATTTGAAGCTTTCGTGGACTGCAAGGATTCATCTTCTTTGGTTCTTTCGGTAAAGTCGCCACCACGTAGAATGAGAATAAAACAATAAAATAAAACAATAAAATAAAACAATAAAATTCTCACGACGTTTTGTAACTCTGTTAGTACCGACAGGTCCGTTCCTTTCACCTGAAGAAGGCCGCTTGCGTTGTGGCCGAAACGTCACGAGAATTTCATTGTTTTATTTTATTGTTTTATTATTTTATTTTATTATTTCATTCTCATTCTACGTGGTGGTGACTTCACCGAAAGAACCAAAGAAGAAGATTATAATTATCATTATTATTAAATAAAATTTTACCTTTCTCCTGTAATGCCCCCACTTTTCCACCATTAGGTGGCGCGCTTTGACCGGGAGTTTAAGGCGTTGTCCTTCGCATCGTCCGCGATCGTGAAATTTGTTCAATCGCCGTGCAAATAAACGCTTTGCTTACCCGTCAAAGGCCAAACCCTTTCCGCTGTGATGATATTTTTTTTTAACACGCGCGCCATTTCACATTTCGTTCAGGCAAACGCTCCGTCCCGTCTGTTTTTTCCCCGGCCTCGGCCCATCTTTTTTTTATTCTAGAACCCCGTTGCGGTCCGCGAGTCAAACAAATATTTGCCCCCGTCCCCTGCTCTGGGGGGGGGGGGGAGAAATTTTTTCCCAAACCGAGGCCATCCAGCCCGGCTGACACCCTGTCTGCACGTCGAGACTTTACCGAACACACTGTTTGCAGGTTATAGTAATAGTTTTTTACCCTTTTAACTGGCACAAAAACTGACACCTTTATTCAAGGCATCGTGTTTGCAATGACCACAACACAAGCAGTCAAAATGCAAACAAAAAAAGGACAACTCTGATAATAATATTGGCACTGTCCTTGAATTTGATTGGTCCACACCCGAGACGGCTTTTCTTAGAGCCCTTTAGTCTCCACTGGTGTTGGACCAGAAGACGCCAAAAGGCGTACAACTCAAAAACAGCGCACTATCAGAGTATTGAGGGCTCGGGTGAGCATTACATTTTGAGACCTCCTTTGCCAGAAACAAGATATAGGAATAGGTTTTTACCCTTTTAACTGGCACAAAAACTGACACCTTTATTCAAGGCATCATGTTTGCAATGACCACAACACAGGCAGTCAAAATGCAAACAAAAAAAGGACGACTCTGATAATAATATTGGCACTTATCCTTGAATTTGATTGGTCCACACCCGAGACGGCTTTTCTTAGAGCCCTTAGTCTCCACTGGTGTTGGACCAGAAGACGCCAAAAGGCGTACAACTCAAAAACAGCGCACTATCAGAGTATTGAGGGCTCGGGGTGAGCAATTACATTATGAGACCTCCTTTGCCAGTAAACAAGATATAGTAATAGGTTTTTTACCCTTTTAACTGGCACAAAAACTGACACCTTTATTCAAGGCATCATGTTTATAACACTATTTGCACTTGCTAAAGTGCTCGTGTTCCGATCCATCCCTACGACGGGTCGCGATGCAATGGCAACTCCTACGGCGTTTTTATTTTTTGGGGTTTTTTTTCCTCTGCGTCATTGTTTTGCTCGCATTCTCTCTCTCTCTCGAGGAGGAGGAGGGTGGTGATGGTGGTGGTGGGGGGTGGGTGGTGGTGGGGGGTGGGTGGTGGTGGGGGGGTGGGTGGTGGTGGGGGGTGGGTGGTGTGGGGGGTGGGTGGTGGTGGGGGGTGTACGAAATCCGGTTGGACAGGTTAGCCAATGCTTGTCACCAGGTGATGTTTACAGAGGCGAATAGATTCCACACAAGCTCCACACCTCCAGCCTCTAACAGGGCTGTAGGGGGCAAAGTGGCTGTGAGTAGCAGCGAGTAGCGGTGACTATGAAGGCTACCGGCACTGTGGACACACTCAGTGTGTGTGTGTCTCTCCCTGTGGCACACAGAGACAAAGCTCCCCCAGGTAGCCTCTAACAAGGCTGTAGGGGCAAGTGTCTGTGAGTAGCAGCGGTGACTATGAAGGCTACCGGCACTGTGGACACACTCAGTGTGGGTGTGTGTGGTCAGAACCACCACTCCCGGCCGCCTTTGTCTCTCCCTGTGGCACACAGAGACAAAGCTCCCCCAGGTAGCCTCTAACAAGGCTGTAGGGGCAAGTGCTGTGAGTAGTAGCGAGTAGCGCTACCAATGAAGGCTACCGGCACTGTGAACACACACAGTGTGGGTGTGTGTGGTCAGCACCACCACTCCCGGCCGCCTTTGTCTCTCCCCCTGTGGCACACACAGTGGGGACACGTAAAGACAAAGCTCCCCCAGGTAGCCTCTAACAAGGCTGTAGGGGCAAGTGGCTGTGAGCGATGTTCACCACGCGGCACCGCTAACAGCAGGAGACTCATTTGAGGCTGAGTCGACCTGGGTGGGTGGCCGTGAGTGGGGAATCAAACTCGGGGAAGTCCTCCTCTGTCGAGTCGCTCAGCGCTGCGCTAACCGTTGCGCCACCGCTCCCACCAGCCCCACCGTATCCAGGTCGGGCTGCACGATGAATCGATTTGAAATCGATTAATCGCAATTTGAAACAACGCGATTCGCAAATCATTGGAATCGTTTTTTTATTATGATATTATTATGATTATTACAACGTTTTTTATTTCACTTGGCAATTGTTCCATCTTCGGTTCTTCTTTTCAATTAAAACGTTCATAATGAATTCATGACAAATTCATGTCCCTTTAAAGTTACCATCCTTGCGTTAGAATGTACAGGGCGGTTTAAAATCCACGTGGCGTCACGTGGTAATGCTCCGTCACGCGCGCTTTAAATCGATTACGCAATCTCGTCGCTGCAGGAATCCGTAATATGTTGTTGTTATTATTATTATATCCTTAGCTCTATTCGGTAAAGTCACGTTGAAGGGAAACAATAAAATAATAAAATATATAAAGCACTTTAACATAGCTATTTCTGTGAACAGTCACAAGCTAATCACTCAGCTGTTTCAATGCTAAATTCTATGCTAATTCCTTTGTCAAGGGGTGCCTCTGCGGATGTGTATGCTTTAACTTAGCTATTTCAATGTAAAATTCTATGCTAATTCCTTTGTCAAGGGGTGCCTCTGCAGATGTGTAGGCTTTGACTTTAACATAGCCATTTCTGTGACCAGTCACAAGCTAATCACTCAGCTATTTCAATGCTAAATTCTATGCTAATTCCTTTGTCAAGGGGTGCCTCTGCGGATGTGTATGCTTTGACTTTAACATCGCCATTTCTGTGACCAGTGACAAGCTAATCACTCAGCTATTTCAATGCTAAATTCTCCTGTTTGAATTGTACTAGGTGCCTCTGTGGATGTGTATGCTTTAACTTTAACATAGCCATTTCTGACCAGTCACAAGCTAATCACTCAGCTATTTCAATGCTAAATTCTATGCTAATTCCTTTGTCAAGGGGTGCCTCTGCGGATGTGTAGGCTTTGACTTTAACATAGCCATTTCTGTGACCAGTCACAAGCTAATCACTCAGCTATTTCAATGCTAAATTCTATGCTAATTCCTTTGTCAAGGGGTGCCTCTGTGGATGTGGATGCTTTAACTTTAACATAGCCATTTCTGTGACCAGTCACAAGCTAATCACTCAGTTATTTCAATGCTAAATTCGCCTAGTTATTTCAATGCTAAATTCTCCTGTTTGATGAGTACTAGGTGCCTCTGTGGATGTGTATGCTTTGACTTTAACATAGCCATTTCTGTGACCAGTCACAAGCTAATCACTCAGCTATTTCAGTGCTAAATTCTCCTGTTTGATTTGTACTAGGTGCCTCTGTGGATGTGTATGCTTTGACTTTAACATAGCCATTTCTGTGACCAGTCAAAAGCTAATCACTCAGCTATTTCAATGCTAAATTCTATGCTAATTCCTTTGTCAAGGGGTGCCTCTGTGGATGTGTATGCTTTAACTTTAACATAGCCATTTCTGTGACCAGTCACAAGCTAATCACTCAGCCATTTCAATGCTAAATTCTATGCTAATTCCTTTGTCAAGGGGTGCCTCTGCGGATGTGTATGCTTTAACTTAAACATAGCCATTTCTGTGACCAGTCACAAGCTAATCACTCAGCTATTTCAATGCTAAATTCTCCTGTTTGATTTGTACTAGGTGCCTTTGCGGATGTGTATGCTTTAACTTTAACATAGCCATTTCTGTGACCAGTCACAAGCTAATCACTCAGCTATTTCAATGATAAATTCTCCTGTTTGATTTGTACTAGGTGCCTCTGTGGATGTGTAGGCTTTGACTTTAACATAGCCATTTCTGTCACCAGTCACAAGCTAATCACTCAGCTATTTCAATGCTAAATTCTCCTGTTTGATTTGTACTAGGTGCCTCTGTGGATGTGTAGGCTTTGACTTTAACATAGCCATTTCTGTGACCAGTCACAAGCTAATCACTCAGTTATTTCAATGCTAAATTCGCCTAGTTAATGCAATGCTAAATTCTCCTGTTTGATGAATACTAGGTGCCTCTGTGGATGTGTATGCTTTAACTTTAACATAGCCCTTTCTGTGACCAGTCACAAGCTAATCACTCAGCTATTTCAATGCTAAATTCTATGCTAATTCCTTTGTCAAGGGGTGCCTCTGTGGATGTGTAGGCTTTAACTTTAACATAGCCATTTCTGTGACCAGTCACAAGCTAATCACTCAGCCATTTCAATGCTAAATTCTATGCTAATTCCTTTGTCAGGGGGTGCCTCTGCGGATGTGTAGGCTTTGACTTTAACATAGCCATTTCTGTGACCAGTCACAAGCTAATCACTCAGCCATTTCAATGCTAAATTCTCCTGTTTGATTTGTACTAGGTGCCTCTGTGGATGTGTATGCTTTAACTTTAACATAGCCATTTCTGTGACCAGTCACAAGCTAATCACTCAGCCATTCAATGCTAAATTCTCCTGTTTGATTTGTACTAGGTGCCTCTGTGGATGTGTATGCTTTAACTTTAACATAGCCATTTCTGTGACCAGTCACAAGCTAATCACTCAGTTATTTCAATGCTAAATTCGCCTAGTTATTTCAATGCTAAATTCTCCTGTTTGATGAGTACTAGGTGCCTCTGTGGATGTTTATGCTTTAACTTTAACATAGCCATTTCTGTGACCAGTCACAAGCTAATCACTCAGCCATTTCAATGCTAAATTCTCCTGTTTGATTTGTACTAGGTGCCTCTGTGGATGTGTATGCTTTAACTTTAACATAGCCATTTCTGTGACCAGTCACAAGCTAATCACTCAGCCATTTCAATGCTAAATTCTCCTGTTTGATGAGTACTAGGTGCCTCTGTGGATGTTTATGCTTTAACTTTAACATAGCCATTTCTGTGACCAGTCACAAGCTAATCACTCAGCTATTTCAATGCTAAATTTTATGCTAATTCCTTTGTCAAGGGGTGCCTCTGTGGATGTGGATGCTTTAACTTTAACATAGCCATTTCTGTGACCAGTC